GTTAATATTCTATAATGCGGTTAAACTTAATTGAAGATACTAAATATGGAGTATAGTTTTTACAATACTAAAAAACATTCTATGTAACTATTTCATCCATAAGTTTTTTAAATAGTTTAAAATATTAATGTTTTTCTATTTTATCATGTAGATTAATATACAAAAGAAAATGGTATTATTCATATTAAAAAATTGAAGAAAAAATAATAATGAGTGAATCATAAAAATAGCGAGATGAAAAAATGAAATAATTTATAAACTATAGTTATGAACATAATAGTTGTAATAATAATATATAGTTTTTAGAGTTATTTGTCGGAAAGTAGAAACAGTTTGAAGAAAATAAAAATAGTTGGAAGAAACTAGAAAAAATTGGAAGGAACTAGAAGAATTGTAAGAAACTGGAAGGAACTGGAAGAATCTGGAAGTTAAGAGTTCAAGCTGTAAAGAACAAGCTCGTATACTCCTTCTGTCCTGCAAAACCTTTCTCCTTTATTATTCATCCGTCTCAAAAAATGTTTCTCATTTCTATTAAAAAGTCACCTTTACTCTTACTAATTTTTAACCTATCTATCACATCATACTTTCCCATCAGATCTAATTTTACCTATCACATCCAAAGACATTTTTAGAAAGGCAATACGAAAGTACACTTCTTTTAAATCTCTTAAAAATCAAAACAAGAAATGTTTTGTGGGACGGAGAGAGTACTTTTTTTCTCCGACCCAAAAATATTGTCTCGCTTTACATAATGCACAAAGTCACATTTCTTTTTAAATTATTTTATTTATAAGTTGATATAGATATAAAAAGTACTACCTTCTTCCTAAAATTAAAATGTGTCTATATATGTAGAGTTGCGACATTGTGGTCCTAAAGTCCACTAATAAAATGTGTATCTTCTCACATATTTTCATGAAGTCATAATTTGACCTCTATCTTTTAACAAAGCCCATTATAAATAACCATTTTATGTACTAAGATCCATAAAATGGCCATGGACTAACGATCACGAAAGAATTTGTCAGGAATATAAATATCGATATTAATAGTTAAAGTGTTACATTAGATACTGTGAAAAACTCAAATGAGGACAATAAATTCAGAGTGAGAAAGTAAATATTTTAAACAATATCTCATTTGTAATCAAAGCGTTGTACAATTTGATCAAAAAAAATTAAATTATAAATTTTTGTTGAGACAGATTAAAATATCTTACTTGAGAATATATAAAAAATGATGTAGATCTTAGGTAGATATAAAAAGTTCTCATTGGTGTATTGTTTGTGAATCTTCTTTTGGACTTTTGGCGGCTATAAGCCTTTTTGACGTGTTTGGGTTAGAGTTGAAAGAACCATATTAGGATGATAGGGAGTATTATTATGATATGATACCTTCAAAGGCTTAATTAATTAAAGGCATGCTGGATGGATTATAGAGAATTATATATAATACGCAAATAAAACGTACACGCACATTCTAGAATATAATCCAAACCCAATATAAAAAAAGCATTATTCTCGAAAATTGTGTGGGCCCCCCTACCTATGTGTTAGTCGCCCATAAATCCTTTTGATTCAAGCGTACCTCATGGTAAATTTCACCAATGGTATACGAACTTTCATCATTATTTCACTTCGGCATATAAACTTTAATTCCTATCACAAAAGTACACCGGTGAAATAATAAAGTTCGTGTACTTTTGTGATAGAAATTAAAGTTTATACACCGAAGTGAAATAATGATGAAAATTCGTATACCATTGGTGAAATTTACCCCTATTTACGCATGTATGTTTTTTTTTAAAAATTGAAATAGTTCTTATATTGGCTTTTCGCATATTTAATTGTAAAGTTTTATTTTTTAATTATATTCTTAGAATAAAAAAGAGACAAATTAGTTAAATAATTTTTTGTATCAATGTAAAATGAATGAGATGTATTACAACAAAGTTATTAGTTATTTTATTAAAAAAAGAAAGTATTTTGTTGTAAACATAAAACGTGAAAGATGAAGGATTTTTAAGAATCGAGGAAGTACACCATTACCCTCTGGAACCGGACTGAATCAAATTAAAAATCTATTTGGTCCCGGCTTTGCTCTCTTAGTCCTTTAAAATCTACCATTTGAGTTCTAGTCCGTTCTAGTGTGGTTATCCATTTCGGTCCTAATCTGGCATGAGGACTATTTCGGTCTTAATCAATGTTTAGGTCAGGTCGAGTTTTCGTCTTGACCAAGGCGCCTTTCCTAAGAATCCAAAGGTTTAGAGTGAGTAGAACTAAGACCATGATTCGTTCGCTTGATCTTTTTAATTGATTCTGATCAGATTTTTCCAAGTTCTGGTCTTTTGACTCTTTTCTGATCTGATTGCGTTTTGATCTGATCTGATTATATCTCATTGGGTCCAATCAAATTAGACTAAAAGGATGAAAACAATAACTCAACCCTCAAAAATTAGGGTTTGAATCCTTGATTACTATCTCAAAGATGTAGAGATAGTAATCAAGTGCTAGTAAGTAGTAATTGCCACAACTTTTTATACCCATCAACGCACATATACGGACGGAGTAGTAGTTAATTACGGATTACTTAATTTTAAGAGTCATGCTTGACCCAAGTTTAAAATAAATAATAAAAAAGTTAATATGATTGTGGGATCATCGTGTATAATAAACTGAACATAACATATCTAAGAGAACAAATTGAGTTTTTTCATTATGGCAATGTAGGGCTGGACATGGTCCTGGTACGGAATCGGTACCGGCGGTTCGGCCACCGGGACCGGTGACGAAGATGGTGACAGGTACGGAGAACCGGACACGGAACCGCCGGCCACTAGTCTGGTTCCGGTATACAGATTTTTGGACCGAAACCGGCGATTCAGGTACCAGGTCCAGTTCAATTTAATTTTTTTTTCCTTTTTTTTCCAGGTGGTGGGCCCTAGATACCATCTCCAACGGCAATAATATAGCCGTTTGGAAGGAGTGAGGGGGTTATCTTTTACCAATAAATACTCCCCAATTTTTTTAATTCGCTCATCAATCTCTCTCCTTAATCTCTATATAATCTCTACTAAATTCTCTTTTTTATACATTGTATATTTATATATACGGAGTATTATATAAAATAAATATATAATCATATATTATACATATATTAGATTATTATATATTTATATTATACGGAGTAATATATTTTGAAATTCATAATTACTTTTTTAGGTGAGCGATATATAAGCTCATTTGATGGTTTTTTTTACGGTTCTTTACCTCATCGCTTTTTTAAACCGTCAAGTATTAAATGTAATTATTTTTATACTATTTATTTTTCATTATTTAAGTAACAACTACATTTTAACATACTTTAATTCATAAAAAGTTATAAATTTCTTTTGCTTTTACACGTACACATTTACATATTAACACTAAAAAATATTTAAAAAATAGTTGAAGGCGGAATATTTTCTCTTGTCATACACAATTCATGAAGCCGCTCCTAATGCGTCGTTTGTGAACTACAGTAGTAGCTTTCTACTATATCTATAGTCTACAGATATAATCTTTTGCCAGAATCTTTTGGCTTGTCAACCTGAATGACATCTAAATAAGTCGTTGGACATAAGATTAATGTCAAATTACACTTTTAGTCTTCAAATAAACACCAACATGATAAAATGTTAAAAAAATTATTAATGGAAAAGTACCAATAAAAGGAAGACCACATTGATATTATTTGATATTAGAGAACTAAATAGAAAACCACATGTTATAAAGAATCAATTATAAAATTTTACTCAATAAAATGAACAAATAAAGTTTGGACCAACATGATCTTTCCATTGGTCATACTCCCAGCATCTCGTTGGAAAATTGACTAGCAGGCCAAGAACTTGGGAAAAATGTGATTGAAAATAAGAAATACTCCCTTTGTCCGCCTAAGATCTTATCGTTTTAATTTTTTGTGGTTTTTAAGGAGAGTTAAAAAATGATCAAAGGTTACCATGATACCCTTAATGAAAATGGATGGAGTGTATTAAATGAGGTATGTGAGGTGTAATAAATGAGCCCGGTTCCATGGCCACTGGAATGAAAGCCACTGTCCCTCAACGGAGATCCGTTTATAAAATTGATGATTACTACCCCCTAACCCCCGCCAAGTCCCGACCCAAACTAATCACCCCACCTATGTCAATTGCACCTCGTAAGTATAATTGACTTTAAAGTCAAAAGTTTTGACTTTATACTTACGAGGTGCAATTGATGTAGGTGTGGTGATTAGTTTGGATCGGGACTTGGCAGGGGATTTACTGGGGGGGTTAGGAGAGGTAGGAATAATCAATTTTATGAACGGAACTCCGTAGGGGGGCAGTGGCTTCCGTGGCCACTGAAATCCAGTGGCCATGGAACCGGGCTCGTAATAAATAAAGTACATGGGGGTAGTTGTGGTATTTTAATTGTTAAAAAAGGTAATGAGAAGATCTATGGTGGACAAATAAAAAGGATTAATGGGAAGATCTATGGGGAACGGAAGGAGTATGATTTACAAATTTAGAAATTATCCTAAATAGGACTAAAACATAGAAAAAAGTATCAAAATAAGATTTTCATGTTTTTTTTCCCGGAATAAGACTTTGCACTGTAGTAATGTGACTTTGCATTGTGGTAATGTGGCAGTGTACATATGCAAATTACTATACTTTTTTGGTAATGTATATGACCATGTTTGGTAATGTACGTCCTATTTCGAGATTAAAAACATTGAAGTCCTATTTTGGTATATTTTGAATGTTTTAGTCCTACTTTAGTCTTTCTCCCTTACAAATTTCTATCCTTAAAAAACAAAGTTACTACGGAGTATTTATTATTCGAGGACGGAAGGAAAAAAAGGAAAGCGATCCCTCTTTTTCTCTTTTTTTCCTCACGAAATAGAAAGAAAATTTGTTTTCTCGATTATTTTATCTTTTCATTTTCTTTTCATGTACATTTCTTTTCATCTAAAAAAAAATCCATACCGTTTTCTTTTTTTCCCATGCCAAGCAAGTTCCTTGAACCAAACGGTGTTAAGGGAAGAATTATGCACTTCATATTTTTTTCCTCCACTATTTGTATGAACAGAGATTTATTTTGTAAAGAAATGTGGCACAAGCCATTGGGGAGGGAGTAATTAATCTATTCAAACCATTTCAATTTCTTCACTTTTTGTTTGGGGAATGGCAGATTTGTGTAGAGAGAATATGCAACTATGAATGGCATCTTCAACAGACAAGAACACAGCCTCTCTCCCAATCACATCTATGCACTTGGTTAATATCAACTTCTCCATCACCCCTATCCTTGGATTTACCAAAATTATCTGCAAAAAAAAATAATGTCAAATTCAAATGTAAACTCCTCAAGCATTTGTTTTTTTTTGGGGTGACATGTAAAAATATTGACAATAGAACCCAAGTCATAAGGCCTATCTATACCGAAACGAAAATATTGGATTGACCATAGGAAAGGAAAGGAAGCTCGATCGAAGATTACCTTAACCCCTTTTGCTTCTAAGATCCTCTTGATTTCGAGTAACGTTTCTACTCCCGTCATGTCAATTGATGTAATGCCTGCAATTCAGCTTATAGCTTGTGTGAATAATGTTTATCACTGGATTACTGTTTGAGCCGCGTCAAGTTTTGGGTTTCAATGTAGAGATTAAAAAGAAGATAATGCAAATTCAATGGATGTGAAAAAATTGTCCTGCAAGTACCTAAGACAAAACAAAAACACTTCGCATAGGGACTAAAACATACTTACGCCGTAATTGTTTAGTAAAAATATTTTAGTTTAGATTTCATTCATCTTCATATATTTCGACATTTATAATTGGAAGCGCTTGGAGTTCCATCATAGAACATTTATTAGTTACCTCCAAGTTCTAGTAGTAGATATTCAACGACTCTCCCTTGAGAATCTTCATCTCTTATCCATCTCAAAATCCTGTTGCATGAACAAAGTAAATAAAATCGCGTTAGCTAGGAAATCGGCAAAAAAAGTGAAAAAAACTGCTCCGAATTATGTTTTTGAAAGAATATCTATACAATTTTTATTAAAATAAAACCTTTCTCTGATGTAATTGCAATTTGCAAAATATATAGGAGAGCCAAGCTGCAAAATTAGGATTCCCGGAACTCCAATGGCATTGGGGTATTGCTCCACATCTCGATAGATTCTTGTGTCAGGTATATTCACAAGCTTGCACACCGTTGGCCTTGCTATATACAAAAGTGCCCTCACTACAGCAAGGCCTATCTGAAAATCAATATTTTAAGTCATTTTATTGTTTATTCCTATCATTTGATCCAATAATTTGCTAAACCTGTCCATAAATTTCATCTAGGAATATTGTATAGATTAAACCTTATAAAAGCTCTGCATAAAAATATGATCTTTTTATAGTGTGCACATCACAATTTAAGCATTGGCGAAAACAATATTTAGAATGAATAGTTAATATATATATATACCGAAAGCATGAGGCCAACGTCCATGCTGATGAAGGCAACACCAAAGAATGCCGCCATGCAAATCAAGAAATCAAACTTGTCGGCCTTGAAAAGATGAAAGGCCTTGTGGTAATCTATGAGGCCAAACATAGCAGACATGATAATGGCGGAAAGCGCCACAAGAGGGGTGTAGCTGAAGAGATGTGCCAAGAACAAAAGAGTGAATAGCATGCAAATCGACATTATTACATTTGACATTGCCGTCTTGCATCCGGCATTGAAGTTCACAGCAGTTTTGGAGAATGGACCTATATAATATATATTATTTTCGAATCAATTAGCTTAAATAAACATGTTGCCCCAACAAGAAATAGAACCTGAACCTATCTATCTACTAGGTTAATACTAATGTACTCTCACTTTATTGTTGGCATTAGAAAACTCATATATTAATATATCCGTCTAAAACAATATGAACTAATTTGGATTGATTTGAAAAACCATACCCGCCATATCTAAAGGGGGAGAAAAATTTACTGGTAAGTTTACTATATAGAGTTTCAAACATTTGTTCTTAAAATGTATTTTATAGTAGAGTTTGTGTAATAAATTCTTGTCTAATCTAACTTTGAAGTACTCCATATATTATTTAGCAATATGGAAAAGAGTATATTGCTATATAGCCTGAAACATAATCTTTTTTTGATGTCTACAAATAATATAACTTATACTCCCTTCGTTTCTCAAAACGGTTCCTGTTTTGACTTTGGGGAAAAATAAGGAAAGTGTAATTTTAGTTGACTTTCCAATTTTGCCCCTGATGTGATGGGTAAAAGGAAGATGTGATAGTTTAGTTATTAGTGAAAAAGTATGATGTGATAGGTAGGGTGTGACAAAAGTAGGGGTAAAAGTGGTTTTTTAATAGAAAAAGGAAGTGTTTTAAGAAAAACAAAAAAATGAAAGATGAAGGGTTTTAAGAAATGGAGGGAATATAAGAGATAGTGAAAGTTTCAAGTGTGTAGGAACAACCCAATCCATTACAGAGAAAAAGTAGGAAGCACAACTATTTGTAGTAGTTTAATAAGTGTTAAAGATATGTGACTTTTACTCCCTCCGTCCTTGAGCTTTCTTCCCATTTCAGTTTACGAAGTTTGACTAAAATTATTTTCATTTCAGTTTATTTGATTAAAAGTGTAGATTCTAAAAATACAATTTTTATATTTAAAAACTACATCAAAACTTATACAAATCAAGAGCTGACATGAATATTATTTAATCAATTGACTAATGAAAATGGACAAAGAAAAGGCATAAACTTTGACTATTTAAATAGTGACTAGGAAGAAACTTTTAGGACGGAGGGAATATATATTACCGATGCGGGCTCAAATGGTCAAACCATAACACAAAGTATTTTTCAAAAGATCAGCATTTACCATCTATTAGATGTTTGAATATGGGACATTAAAAATTAGAACTTATTACAAGTTGGAGATTATTCATATTCACAATCACTAGACAAAGTTTCCCGGCAGCCATATTTGAAAGAAATCGATACTCGAGTAAATTATGATAATTACTAGCAATGCTTAGAATCTATTTTGATGATTTTGTATGATCTCAAAAACCTATAATACACATATTGATCACACATTTAAAAAAGCTAACTTTCATAAATTTAAAATCCCATGTTTTTAGTAGATTGTTCCTACTACTCCTTACCTATCTGGCTATTACAACTTATATTTAGCCAAAATATTTTCTATTGACTTTCAAGAACTTGTATAGCATGCAAATTAGATATGCCTTCACTAATATGGACAATTCCTGTATTGATTACTCAGAGATTATAATCGTACTACACCCATCACTTAGTGCCTAAATCATTTGAGGTATCTATCTCTTGTAAAGGTGTAGTATTTTTTATTCTAAAACACAAAAAATTGCATTGTAAAGGTTGTAGATTAACCATTCCAAAATCCCTCAGGTTAGTGGTGAACTAGATTACTACCATCACAAATTTTGAGCAACATGGGGTGCGCGATATAGAAGTTTTGTCGGTGTTATATCACAAAAATTTCATGTGAAAGAGAGAAAATTTGACTGTTTGCTCCAAAATTTGGAGCGTGGTGTAATTTCTATGTACATGTAGCATAGCTCAATATATATAGCAGAATAAAATGTGAAAACATTATAAATGAAGTTTTAATTGTGTAATAAGATAGCCCATATATAACTTGGAACATCAAAGTTGATAAGATGACATTGATATCCATGAAGAACGAGAGTGTGGTTAATACTAATGGTTTGTGTAATTTATTGTGTATGCCTCTATTCCTTGATGTAAGTACTAGAGAGGTCACATAAAATATTACCTGTAGTTAAGTAGCAAGAAGTGAAAGAACCAACAATGTTCATCATCCCGAACGCAATCATCTCCTTGTTGCCATCTATTTGCTCATTTTTCATGATGGCAAAACTTCTTCCGATTGAAATTCCTTCCTACGCATAAAACAGAGAAGACGTTCTGTTTCTATGAATCAAGTAAACAAACAAGAGCAATACGTAGCACTTGGTATGAAAGTCCTGCAACGCATTGTAGAAATGTTTACTTACTGCCAAAGCTATCATTGCTGTGATAATTCCTGCTTTTAGAGACGTGGAGATGTACTTGGGATCAAAGTTTAATTTTCCAATTGAAGAAGGGTTTAGTCCTTTATCTAGGTGCCCAACCTGCATTTTGTATTTCCAATATAAGAACTGTATTAACTAGAACTAAATCACCGGCGATATGAACAAATCAAATAGGAATTGGTCTTAAGACATAAGCTAAAACAAAGAAAATAGGATCATATCAAATCAAAGAAAATAGGAATTCGTCTTAAGACATAAGATTTTGTTCTCAGCACAAAACAAAGAAAACAATTATAATCATTCCAATATCCTAGTATCACCTATTCACTCATCGCCATCTGCATTAAAATTAAAAAACCAAACTAAAGAAATAGTGTAAATGCGAAAAAAAATTAAATAAATATGCATTGATAATACAAAAAAGGATTGTATTTAGGATGAGCCTATAAATAAGACCATGGTCCGTGACAGTACTTTCGATCCCTTGACTTTCTCATTGATTTCAATTTAGAGTATGTTGTATCTTCTTCTTCTTCTTCTTCTTCTTATCCCCATGTACATCGCAGGAGCCGCTGTCATTGTGACACATCCACAAAAGAGTTTTGAATCCTGAGATGGCATGGAGAGAGTCTAATTCTATATATTGACTCTGGAAGAGGGAAGCTTAGAACAGGCGATCTTGACCCGACGGAGAGGCTGCTGCATATCATCGCAGCACCCTTTTCCTCAATAGTGCCTCTATGCACAAACCCAAACCCATTTTTGGGTTTCTCGAGCTCTCCATTTTCAAACCCCAAAGTACGGGTTTCTATTGTTCATTCATTGCTGCATTTCTCCTTTTTTTTGTATTAGCTTTTCGCATTGGTGTATTTTGGCTTATGCATTTTTTTTAATTTATAGAATATAAAAAAATAGTGAGGAAAATTATACCCCTCCCTTCCTAAAAGATTATCATAGTCAAGCTGTAACATCCTTTGATCGTGAATTGTGAAAAAGTATATTTTGTTATAATATAATTAATTTAGTAAAAATGTGTTTAATTTAAAATATAGTTTTGAAATATCATTTTTTATAAAATTTAATTATTTTAAGCTATATTTAATTTTTAGTCAACGGGTGCCATTGTTTGATCAAAAAAATGAATTGTGGCTATCTTTTAGAGAGGGAGGGAGAATACTCTTTTGAATTAGAGTTCACTATAATGCGTTGGAGATAATTAGTGTTTGATTTAATATTTATGCTTTGTTCGTTTTAGTTGTAAATATAGAATTGAATATTAGAAGAAATTGGAAGAAGTTAGGTAACTAAAAATAGTTGATAAAATGAAAGCAGCTGGAACATGTTGGAAAAAATAAAGAGTTAAAAATCTTTCAATTAAATAATCACGCAAATAAATATGTAAAAAACCTAATTTGGATACAAAATTCATCTGTATGTTATAAATTTAGATATATGATGATATTTGATTCATCATATGTAAATACTTTTTTTAGTCGTTGTTAGAAGAAACTGAAAAGAATTGAAGAAACCGAAAGCAGTTGGAAAGATTAGAAGAAATTGAAAGAGGTTGAAAAAAATTGAAAGTTAATATTTCCGACCCAAATAGCATTTTGGGTTTCAGTTTGGGATAGATGGTTGGAGATGGTCTAAGGAGAGACCGTGCTTATATCATAGGGCAAGTTGAACCAATTTCCGGTACAACCGACATCAAATTGGGACACACGTTGTGCGACCGAAGGTGGAGGCGAAGCTTAAAGGGGCGGCTCGGCGAGAACGTTGGCGAGGAGATGAGCCTGAGCCGACACAAGGAGAAGGAGGAGGAGACACACAAAGAACGAGTCTCTTGCGCGAATCATCGTCTCCCAGCACCATTGAGCAGGCTGAAGGGAGTAGCGAAAACCCTGGTCGCGACGAATGGAGGTTGATGAATGGAACTTATGGTGAGGCGTGAAGCAAATCACATTTACCCCAAAAATCAACTATATCTGGATGGTCCAAATGAAGGGGTGGGTGGTCGGTACGGGTCGGGATAGGGTGAGGCGAGGTTTATTGAATAGTAAGAATCATTAATTTTACAAATAAAATATGGTAAGTATCTCAATTAAAGCCAATCTCATTTTATAACATGGGCCTCAAGGTCAAAAGAAGGAGTTCATTACAAACAACAACCCAAGTAAAATTCTACAAAAGGTAAGATCCAATCTAAATTTAATAGGAAAAACTATTTATAATAATCCAAACTTTGAGCAGTCCATTAAAATTAATTTTATTTTTCATTGTGATGTGTAATAAGCCAACATTTGATAGAGTGTGCGTGTTCTGGGTCGCTGTTATTAGTCCCTATTTATTGTCTAACAGTTTGGAATAGTAAATGCTTATTTTGCGTAACTAAATAAAAGGCGGGATTCGTTCAAATAAATTCTATTTATTCAATTATTTTTTTCATTTTAAAATTTTGAATTAAGCTTTTAAAAAATTGAGGTCTCTTGAACCACCGTGGGTCTACCAACCAAGTTAACAATTATTGAAATGTTGAAAAATGTGGGATCATAAGAGTTTGTCAACTTTGGCCCAAGAGAAGAGAGAGGAGAGATGAAGCCTCTACATGAGGTGAGGATTTCATTGGTGTTGAGAAAATTTAATTCCTTGAAAAAATAATCTTATCATTGCGCGTTACGATATTTGATTGAAAATATTCTCAAATCATTGTATTTGAACGGAAAGAGCTTTATTGTTCTGTTGTTATAGGGGTCAGTTCACGTGAGAATGCACCTTGGTAAAAGAAATGAAAATAAAATCTAGCCTTGGGATCTGATGCATCGTGCGGCTCAAATTGCATCATGCGCTCAGATTTTGAAATAGTGCATTTTCAAAGGATTTTGGCACATTTGGACATAACGCATTTTCAAACCATTTTGGTGCACCTAATTTTGATGCAATCCTGACCCTTAGCCAGATTCATTATTATTTCTTTCATAAGATCGCATTTTCAGCAGAAACAAAATCTTTGTTATATTCCAGCCAATTGAGGTCATAGTGAAAATTTTAAGCCAAAATAAATGTTGATTTTCTCCCTTATTTTAGTGCTGTCTTTTGTAATTTTTCCCTACAGAAATGGTAATTTTTTCTCCCTAAAGTGCTGTCTTTTGAAAAATTTCTTCTACCAAAAAAAAAAGGGAAAAGACGAAAGAGAAGAAAAAGGAAGGAGGACATACAATTGGGATGCCGTGATTTTCAGCATGTGCAAAGTACGCAAAGAGGCCGCCGACTACGACTGTCACCATCGGCGATATGGCCGATACCCAAAACAGACCCGCTTTCTTTTTACTCTGCATTTTCAATAACTTACTTTAGCCATCCAACCCAACATTCACACGCAATATATATATATGGTACAATTATTCGGTTCTATCGTGTTTTTCGTATATCTGCAACGAGATCTCATTTACAAGTAATCGAATATTCGATTTTGAAGAACGACTAAACACTCATTTTCGAGTTACAGAATATTTATTTTTTCTAGAACTCGGTTATGCTCGAAAGTAAGTTTTCTGTTACTCGAAATTGAGTATTGTACAAGTCGGAAATGAGCATACAATTATTTGAAAATGAATATTCATATGGGTGTACGGGAAACATCGTACACTTGGATGTATGGTAGAAGTCCTCCAACATTAATTACAAGGAAAATTTAGAAAAACCATTTCGATTTTCGGTGAAATTCACCAAACAAAATAGCTCTACAAAATTCAGCAAAACTATTTTGATTAACTAAAGTGTTTTTTTTATCCTTTACAATACTTAAAAATGTTTTAAAAGAACAAATAATATATTTACGATATTTATGGAAACTTAAATTTGAATTTTTATTCCAGATTTGACTCAAATTACAAAATTTCATAAATTTTGATTTTAATTTGGGGCAAGCTTTTCTAATACAAATTTCCAAACGCTAAATTTTAGAATTGAAATCAAATAATACACATAAATTTATTGTTTCTTAAATGTCATCTTCTATTTCCTCCCTCTCCATGTCAAATCACATAAGTTTGGAGAAGACATTTCAAAAGTTAGAATGGACACAATGCATCTTTAGGGCATAGTAGCATTTTCACACCAAGTATTATTCTCTTTGGCAATGATGATGATGAGATTGGTCAAAACTCAAAAGAAAGGCAGAATATTTAGAAAGAAATTACCTCATGATCTTGAAACCAAAAAAAAAAAAGCAGAGAATAAATTGTGGGTCAACCCAAATACTAAATCCTCCTCTTTTAATTTTAAGAAAATAATCGCAATAGATTCCACCGTATTCATTAACGAGCAACTACTGAGTTTTATTTTCACCTAATTGTTCATTTTCAAGTAAATAAATACTCATTTTTGAATAATTGAGTCCTTATTTTTCTAAAATTAAGTCATGCTCAAAAATGAGTATTGTGTTACACAAAAATAAATATTCAATTACTCGAAAATAAGTATTGAAGTAGACCCACAAAAATATTGTATAAATATTTATCAATAATAAGTTCATGAATATAATAATTTAATTTAACGAGACGCCTAGACTTTGCACTCATAGACTTCATGTGACTCGTGTCTGTTCCACCGACATGCATTTGCCTCATTTATATGGGTAGGTGTAATAATTTCAAGTATATATTTCCACTCTCTATGAATTCTACTTTACCTAAAATGAAATGAATTTTATTTTATTTTAAGATTACTATAAAAATAAAAAATAAAATTTGTATATTTAAAATATATATATCAAATGTTTTAGAAAGCAAGAGGTGATGAATATTTTATTTTATCAAATAATCAGTAAAAATACATGGATAAACATTGTAAGACGAAGAGAGTATTAATATTCAAATTACTCCGTACTTTCTATCACATGTTTAAGGCTTTGTTTGGGAACAACATGTTTGATTGACTTTTCATTTAAGATAAAATTTTAATGGCATTGATTAATCCTAAAAATGTTAATGCTAAAGGCTATCATCAAATAACATTTTCAAAACGTTAACTTCTAATGCTAATGTCAAATGAAGCCTAAATTTGAACCGCTCAAATTTGAAAAGTTTGCCTTAGGTTAAACTGAACACAAAAAATTGGGACAAAAAGAGAAGAATAGACAACTAAGAGCAATTCCAACCATGCTTGTTATATGGACTATGGAGTTGATATTTTTACATTAAAACAAATGATCAATGTTATAACAAACACCTTTTTGTTCCACTCTCTCACCAAAGTTTGTTATTTTATTTTTAAGCTATTGGCTTACTAAAATATAGCACATTCTTTGGAGATAAACAAAAAATTTGGCTTGCTATATACGGAGTATATATTATACCGAGTGGTTTTAGCAAGCCAAAACGGTATGGTTGGAAATTCTCTAACAAACTCGATCTATACATTCCCTTTTCCGTACCAAAAATAAGATGTAAATTGAGAGATGTAATTAGTTAAGATTCAACACAAATTAAAAGACTTACCACAAATCTTGTGAACTGAAGGAAAGCAAGGAATATTGTACCCACAACTATACTCTCCCATTTCCACTGCACCATACCATTGAAACTATTTATTATCAATAAATAATTGTTTTAATAGCAGTGTGTATATATATATATATTAGTAAACGAAAAAGCTTAAGGGAGCAGGCCCTTTTGGGCCTTTTCCAACTCAAAATCAACACTTTTAGAACAAGAAGAATGGCCATAACAAGAACTTTACTAATCAGTTTTGAAGTGGAGCCGTTTGTTCCTTCTCCTAGCACGACGCTTCAATCTTCAGGGTTATCTCAAAGGCTCTATTGCTCCCATCTCCGACGACGACGACGAATGGTTCCAACTTGATGCCATTCTCCAGGGATGGATTCTCTCCACCATCACGGATGAGGTTTCAGATCTCGTTCTCTCTTCTGTCTCTACTGCTTCTACTCTCTGGACGATGATTCATGATTTGTTCCACGACAATAAGCATGCTCGAGCCATGCAACTCGAGCATCAATTTCGCACCACCGTCAAAGGATCTACCCCCATGGCCGCATATTGTCAAGAGCTCAGGAATATTGCAGATTGGCTAGATGACGTAGATGCCCCCGTGTCTGAGCACCAACTAATACTCCAGATGTTGCGCGGCCTCCCCGACGATCTACAAGCCCAAACTTCGTTTCTCCAATTTCAGGACCCCATGCCGAGTTTTCTCCAGGTGCGGTCAGC